GCAAAGTAAATCTGATATTACTGTTTTCATTTACAACAATCTATGATAATACTTTGTTGTAAATGTAAATGTCTCTTGAGATAAACTTTACTATAATATGACGATGAAATGAAGATATCTATATTTAAAAAAACAAGCTATTATTATTCGGCATGTAGCTACTCTACATGCCGAATAATAATAAGCTTGTTTTTTGCAACACCCACGACACCCTCGGTGTTTCAGGAGTTCATAGGCTACGGTTACCATTGACCGTCAGATGGCTGCATGCTTGTTTGCCAACATCGGAGTATATAAAAAATATTAATTTAAAAATATTATATATTATAAATTAATTAAACACGTTTTTGAGAGATAACATGTTAATATTTATTTTTATTAATATATTTTACCCCCGATCCCTTGCGGGATAGTACCAGATAAGTGTCCAAATATCTAAACTTGTTCCAACATCAAAACAATGCATTTTATGTAGACGGAGCAGGAATAAACAATTAGAGAAATTACATATTTAGGTAATATGGTAGGTACCTATTATATATTCACACATTCATGCAATTGTAACTAAATCGTTTATATATTACAACAATACTAGTTTGCTTACGCATATGTTATTTTGGGTCAAAAAGGTATAAAAATGCCAACGAACAATTCTCAGACTTCAGAATCTTCAGAATCAGAAGCATTATAGTTTTATATATTAGATAAAAAGTAGTTACCTATAAAAAAAATAAGTATAGCTTTAAGCTATGATAATTAAAACTGAAGTAGATTTAAGTGAGTTAAGGTCGAAATGCTCGTATTACAAAATACCGAAGATATAGCTGATGGAGCAATTAATAAGGCAATTAAATTTATTTAGGAGGTCTTCGGATTTGAGCAATTAAAAACTTATAATCAAAATTATAAAGTTGTGTCCATTTGGAAAAATAGATTGGTCTTTACAAAATAGAACTCTCTAAGGAACTCCGCCAATTAGCCACTAATCAGATATATTTGAATATATTCAAATAAGAAATATTTGCAAACATCCTGCTAATTAACGTAGAAATTTTAAAGCAAACCAATTAACTAATAGCCCTATGTCGCTGTCTCTCAAGAATAAAAAGCTTTAAAAAAGCTATCAATATTACTTTATAATATTTCATACACTTAATTCCCATCACATTTTTAGTTAGTGGTCAATGGTCTCAATTGTCGCAATCGGTGATATAGCGGTTTGCGAACTAGTTAATTTTCCAATGATCGCGGATGCAATCCCCACATTTGCATATTTACATACATTTGTATTCATGAGCTTGTTTACTTTTTTATACATATATTTTTATGGATATGTTTTTCTGTTTCTGTTTATATTGGTCTGAATTTATTTCTTTGTATAGTTGCTAATAGAAGTGATTGCTACTCTAAACGACACTTTGTATATAGGAGTTCAAAGTTTCATATTTATTTATAATATGAAATGAAATGAATAAATAAATATGAAACTTTGAACTCCTATAGAGTTCAAAGTTTCATATTTATTTATAATTGCATTACATTGAAATGTACCTATATCAAAATTTTATCGCAAATAGAAAATTGTTAAGTAAATGTTCGTGCCGCAAGTTTATAAAGTTGGAGACCAGGGTTAGGTGTTCCAGACGAAACTATCTCACGAACAGAATCTGGTCACAGGTCATTGATTCGGTAGATTCCAATGTGCATATATTTATTATTCGTCATACTTATGCATGTTAATTAAAAGACATCACAAGTACACACCTAATATTTATGAGTAAGTAAGTAGATATAATCAATCTTATGTATGCGAAATTATTTTATTAAAAATAATATAATAACATAAAAAAGAGCTAAAGTTATAAAAGCATGACATACATAAGTGAGAATAATGGTCGTAGAGCTCCTATCCTAAACAACTTCTAAATTTTTAGGAGCTCTATGATCAATTGTTTTCATACTTAACTATACATCGAGAAATCTGAATGAATACTTAAATTACGCTACTACGCGTTATAATATAGTAAAATTTGTAGGAGAATGAGCACTAAACTAGACTACCTAGAGGTGTATATTTCAGGTAAGTAGCTTCTCCTCTGAAATATACTTAATTATTGTATCTACTGTCTACAATAAGTCAGGGAAATCTTAACAACAAACATATGTCTATAGAATGAAAATAATAAATATTTTAGATGATATTGCTGAATCCAAAATAATCATTTCAAGTTCGTTTGGTAATTCATGAAAATATTTCTAATCTACAATAGTACCTATAATAATAAGTAATATATAATAGTAATATTTTAAGCTACGTTAAATAACACTTCAATATCTTATTTCTGTTTCAAATCTTCCCTACAGCGCCCAGTGAACTTTGATAAAGTATTGCAAGTAAAAAAGGATATCTTACAAAAAAGAAATCGCAGATACGCGAGCCATTATATTTTTTTGCTACAAAATAGAACTTTTTTCGGTATAACGGGACCTACTAAATTATTGCGTGTAATCTTTTGTTACTTTTTGTTGTTTTTTCTTTTGTTCTTCGAATAACAGATTCCCACAATATTATTAGGATTGACTAATGTTAACTCGGAAGTCTTATAATTACAAACCTGTAAGATTTATTGCTTTTTTCGTATCCTTAATCTCAATTCGACATAAACATTGACACTGTTACAGACAGACACACAGCAAAATAATACTGCATTGTATTTATTGACAAATGAATCTGTAAGAGTCCTTCTTAGTTGCTATATCCTAGTGGTTTATAACAAAACAGTCTAAGTATTGAAATTTCTGATTAGATCTCCGGTAATAGAAAAAATCGATAAACAACCAAATTTGGCGGTGAGTCAACGCGGTAGGCTTGTTTCTTTCTTTCTAACCTTAATGTACGATCTCCGAAATATGAACATGTCATAAGTGGGTATTAGGTAGTTACATTAAAGAAAGACTATAAATTGGCCATTGAGACTAATACTCAAACTGCTGCAGTTTATATTCACCACCAACGCCAATTGGACCAATTCCTTTCAATGTCTGTCTTGAATTATTTGAATTGCGAATATTTAATTAATTACCCTATTTGTTCTATGCGGCAAGAGATAGCTGAATGACTAACTACGATATCAAACTAATTAGCTAGTCCTAGCAAATTTACCTACCAAGAATTAATCATATTGCTTTGTGTACATCGGAGTAGGTACCTACCTACATTACCTACTAGTAACAGTAATATTGTAGATATTCATTTATATAGATAACTTGCCATCAGGTGACTCGTCACCATTTAGGTATACTTATAAAAAATGGCGCCCATAATTCCATTAATAACTGGTATATTTAAATTAGTAAATTTTAAATATAAAAATTATGAGTCTTTCATATTTATGCCACATATGAGTAAACATATCTATAGCTGGCGGTCCCACGGCTTTGCACAAAGAATGCACAAGTCACAACAGCACCTGTGGCTGTGACCCACACCGAGTCACCTGCAATACTATGCAACTGCAGAGAACAGCGACGCAACTTGATTTTTGATTCGATGCTTGTTTTTAAGTAAAATTTATTTTAACTTATTTTCTGATTAATTCGTTAAGCTTATTATGCATACTAATACATAAGGAATATTCAGATATGCCTGTGAGTAGGTAATGTACATTTAATAAATTAGGTACCATTACCTACCATTTATATATCAAGCATTAAACTACGCCTAATTTACCTACATATTTCATAAGAAAAACGTAATCTAATTTTATGAGATTAAAATCCCTGTTATAAAAGTGTTTGATCCAAAACAAGCTACATCACTTTTCTTTATCAGCAAATAAACTTTATAGGAAAGTAGAATAAAGGTTTGATACAAAAAATGCCATAATAAGAAAGGTCGCCTTGTGTCGCTTGCATTCTTACATAAAAAAATGTGAACCCCTCTCAATTTAATTTTTTTAAAGTTTTGATAGAAGCGCGAGCAGGTAGATGAAACCTCTCGCAAACTTTGTGTATTTAAAACTTCCCATACCGCATGTTTTCTATTTTTATTAGATTAACACACAAAGATCCTAAATCTTATTTACTTAGTTGCAGTTTCAGCAAAATAACTTTAGCCATGTTACAATAGATCACATTGATAAATAAATCATATTAATGTAGTAGTGATATAGCTACATATTTATTCTGATAAATTACTTAATATCGACATTTATATTGTCTCCTATCAAGCCTAACGAAAAATATAGACATATATCTACTACCTACTTTAGTCTCATTATGAGACTAATGTAGTAGTCATTACGAGAATAATATGTATGAGACTCTCATAAAAATAATGCGACAAAGTAGCAAGAAAAATGAGAAGTCAGATTTTTTATATAAACGATAATTAAAATGTAATGGCATACGCTGGCAAGCCACCAGTGGATGCTAAACCATAAAATCAGACCAATAATCCATGCATCGTGAGGTATTCACCAGGAATTAGCCACTATGCTTTTTTAATGGATGATAATAGACTAGTGCAATCGCCTGCCCTAGCGGTTTACGTTGGCGGGGAACCAGTGTAGGATGATAAGATGAGCATGAAGTTAGGTCAAGATATTAATCTTGGATTTCTGACACATTAGCAGCATCTTCTTTCTGTAGTCATACTTTAACTTATAAACTAAGTCAATATCTCTCAGATGATGTTCTTGTACCTCATACCAAAGAAATCTCGTAACCGAATCAGAGATAAAGCAATACGAGGATCTAATCACAGTTGATTAAATTCTACTTGGTGTAATTCTACAAAAGTTGCCATTCACTAAATTGTCGAATGTTCCACCGCTTCTGTTGTCAAAGTCAAATATGACAGCAACGTTATTGACATTGACAGTATTAAGAACCTATTTTAAAGTTTTAAACTATTTTTATTTGTATTTATATCATTGTGTGTGCTATAAATTCCTAAATACTGTATTTTATTATTAATTCTATTTCAAAATATATGATTATTTTGTTGTTTTATATATTAAATTTTTATCATTAATTAGTTTATATAATTTATTAAAAACCGGTAGTACTCATTTTGTTATTAAAGAAATATACTTGTTATAAAGATCTTTATAAATAGTAATTGGTAAAAGATTTAAAATAAAAAAAATAAACAATACTGCTAATATGAACTTAAAAGATAAGGTAATATTATATGAAAATTATTACTTTTTACATATCATTGTAGAATGTGTTCTACATTAATCAGTCAGTTATGTATGTGGGAGAGTTGTACTAATTACATTATGAAACAGATTATATCTACAATTATGTTAAGTATTATGACACAAATAATAATTGATTTCTATTATTCAAATGCTATACAAGATATGTTAAACGTTATAATGATATTAATAATCCATTCAATATAAGCATTTATATGTAAATAGTATTTTTTTTATAAAAATGCCTGCCAGTATAAATACTAAATGCTAATTTATTTAGGAGTAAATGTGAATGTTTGTTACTATATAACACTTATTTTTTTTAATAATTATGTAAAACTTAATTTTTTTTAACTGAACATTATATTGATCACATTTAACACTCTAAATGATATTAGTTTTAATAAAAAAAAGTAGTTATTGTTGTATCATTTTATAATAACTTTTCAAATTATTCTTCCAGAACTTTCCTGAATTAAAAAATGATAGATTATTACGAGCAGCACTTGGAAAAGAAGTGGACAAAGTTCCTGTTTGGGTGATGCGGCAAGCTGGCAGATACTTGCCTGAATTTCAGGAGGTTCGAGCTAAACATGATTTCTTCACTGTCTGCCGAACACCTGAATTGGCATGTGAGGTGACATTGCAGCCACTGAGAAGATATAAACACCTTGATGCATCCATTATATTCAGTGATATTCTTGTAATACCACAGGCTTTAGGCATGACAGTTGAAATGCATGCTGGAGTTGTAAGTAGATGCCAATACCATTATTTTAAAGATACAATATATTAATAAAGACACATATTCGTAATAACAGAAATAATAATACAAATAATACTGACTAAATAATCTAAAATATTTTTACAGATTGTCTCACATTATCATGTATTAAGAAAAGAATCTAATTTACTTACAAATTCATACTCAAATCACAATTTTATAAATATTTTTCTTATTATTTATTATTATGTATGTACTGGAGTATTAATTTAATTATAATCTTAGTTCAGTCATATAGCAACAGTAAACAAGGTATACCTATATATTAATGACACATTTCTTTCAAGGAGTCTTTCAGACATAATAATATTATTATGAAACTATACACTTACAATGTACATTGAATTATGACTCACTTGTCCTTTCCTCATGAAACAATTCTCACCATAATGTTAAGTGTCTATTATTTAAACATTTCTTATGTTCATTTATTTTGTGCTTAGTATTAGATTGTTGATCTTTGATCATGATTAATAATCTTTAATTGTTGATAATATTTTGATTAATCTTATCTAATATATATTTGTAATATATGTAATGTATAATATAACAAAATCTATAAACATAATACCCATCATTTATGTCAATAATTCCAGGGTCCAGTATTTCCCAAACCACTGAATGACCCCTCAGAAATAAATCAGTTACAAGAAGAAGGGGCAGTATCCAGGTTGCTGTATGTTGGTGATGCTATCAATTTGACTAGACATAAAATTGATGGCCAAGTACCACTAATTGGTTTTACTGGAGCTCCTGTAAGTTAATGCCTCATATTTATAAAATATGTTTTCTTATTGTTCTCTCCTCATTTGGCTTGACATCATAGTGAACTCTCACTCTTCCTAGCTATATTACAAATACTTAGTATATACAGTTGTCATTTTATAGTTTTTGGTGAAATATTACTTTTTGCCCTGGAGAAATAATGGATGCCACCAAGAGAATAGAGCTGATCTGGACTGATAGTGAAGGAGTGAATTAGTATCCATACTATATATTTTTTCTTTTGCAGTTCACTCTGATGGGTTATATGATTGAAGGTGGTGGAAGCAAAACTATGTCTAAAACAAAGGAATGGTTAGAAAAGTATCCAAAAGATGTACATAATTTACTCAGTCTTTTGACACGTGTAATAATAGACTATTTAGTAATGCAGGTAAAATGTACTAACTGTAGTCCTTACAACTTTAATCATATTTAAAAAAATGTATATCATGTTTGTGGCATTATATTGTGAATTTATATCTCATGCTTACACCTTTATTGGAAAGTAGGTTGCCAGTGGAGCACAATTATTGCAAGTATTTGAATCCAGCGCAGATCACCTAACAAGGGACCAATTTGCAGAAGTATCAGCGACTTATTTAAAAAATATCAGGGATGGTGTTCGAAATAAACTTGATGAGAAAAAATTACAACAAGTTCCTATGGTATTACCTTTCTTTATCTATAGTAATAATAATAATCTCAGGTCAATTCAAACAGCGCCATCTAGACCCAAGTTAAGCTAGCTAAAGCTTGTGTTATAGGTACTTACTAGAGAACTTATACTAATACATAATTATAACTTTTTTTTTCACATCAATCAAATTATGATACAAACAATCATACTCATGAATACAAATATTTGTGTCAATACCTCTAAAGATACGATTCTCAAAATTACGTATGCTTTATATACAGTACTTTTTTCACAATTCGATATTTCCGATTATATTTCATTCCAAAATATAATTATATATAAATATTAATGTGACTGGAAAAAAATTATGAGCATGAAACTGTATTTTCTAGGTTGCATTAACTATATTGAAAGCGACTGATTTACAGGCGACTTTTCCTGTTTTTAGATAGATACAGATAGATATAAAGTACCATATTTAATGTGAGAATAAATAACATTCAAACTCGGTACCTTTCCTAATTTTCTAATTATTGTTACAGACACTTTTTGCTAAAGGCGCTGGACATTCTTTAGACATACAGGCTCAATTTGGTTATGAAACTCTTGGATTGGATTGGACAGTGGACCCCAAGAAGGCAAGAGAAATTGTTGGCGAAAATATCACATTACAAGGCAACCTAGATCCTCAGGACCTTTATAAAACTCCGGTAAATAATCTATATCTAAAAGTGAATATAAGTTGGCATCATAATGCTAAGAAAGATTTTATTCAGAGGATAAATATCTCCATTGCGTCAGCAACATAGTATGGATAAGTTAGATCTTCACTGATAGACCAGTTGGAGTAGACATAGGTATTGTACACTAGGCACTTGATTAACATCACTCTATTTTCACCTGTGCAATATTGGATTCAAATATACACAATTCGAATCCAACATGGCATGGGGCGATACTACAGTGTCTTCGAGATAAATTCAGCATTCTCATCATTGTTTCCATAACCGCAGTCAGAAATGTAAATTGACATACGAAGTTTTTCTGGTATCAGATTCAGATTCGAATTCACGAATTCACGGCCTCAGGGGTCTAAATGAAGGTACATAAACCATTAGTCGATGATGATCTCAATATCATGAAAAATACCTCTAGGATTCTTCCTCTTTTGCGTGGGCCTGTAAGAGATAGTATTCCGTGTTTTTTTATTTGCAGGAAGAAATAAAAAAGCTAACAATTAACATGGTTCAGAAGTTTGGAAAACACAGATACATAGCCAATTTAGGTCATGGAATCACACCACAGACTCCATTAGAAAGCATGACTGCTTTCACAGAAGCTGTACATGAAGCGTTATAGACTTAAATATTTGTTATAAACATGTTCATTCTTGTTATAATGTAAATTTTAAATATGGAATTATATAACTTTATTTGGGAAGGTTGATAAAAAATTATTTCATTTATGTACAATGTTTTAATGGACCTATAAAAGCTTAAAAATACAGAAGCTTAATACATATTTTTAATGAAAATAATAAATTACATTGAATACGTTGTTTTAGAATTCTGACTCGTGGCTGGTATGTCCTCATCATGGCTTCCAGCAGATTTCTTAACATACTGAAATAATAAATTAATACAAATATTTAACATATGATCATCATTTAATATACTTATTATTATATAAAAAGTAATTTACTTGAATTACTTTGAATATTATTGTTAATATTTCTACTCATGATATTTATGTAAATATTATCTGGCCAACCTTCTGTAATATCAAGAATTATTATTCATACCTGTGGATTAACTTGGATCTGTTCATCCATCTCCTGAATATACTGATGTAGTTTTGTACAGGCTGCCATTTGTTGTTCCAATACACACAATGTCTCAGGGGAGGCATATTTCTCAGGGCTATCCAGAAATACAACCATACCATCTTTCTGATTGATCATTGCATATATTTCACCTTCTTCAATCTAAAAACAAGAGTTGAAATAAAATTATTCACACAAAGAAAGTATATTTAATTACATTTATTATTATTTTACTTAAAATAATGTTAGTTAGACCCTGATTACTAAGGATTATCAGTGCAATATATGCAAAAGCTGTATAATCAGTCTAAGTCAATATGAATAAATTTTGAGCTGGTGAGTCCTAGAATGATATTTGTTTTCTAAATTACTATTTATAAAAAGTCGCAATTTCACAAAATTAGTATCATGCCGCCTCTTCGTCACTAGTACAGAACCTTACTAACACATATTGTAACTTGTTATTAATATAAAATTTAATATCATACCATGTTGAGGATGTAGGATTCTGCTTGAGCTGGACCAGACAATTGTACACGAGATGCAACATCACTCAATGAAAGAGTCAAAAATGTCTTGGTAAGCCGCTGAATATTCTTCTTATACATAGAACTCAAAACCTAAACATAAAATACATGGCCTACATTAAAAGTAAATATTATAAAAAGCATTTTTTTCTTTATGAGCGTAATTGTTTGATTATTTATATAGTGTACGAAAATTCCTGCTAGAGATATGACACCGATATTATATAAAAGATATGCTATTGGCATGAATCCAAAGTATTACATGAAACCATATCTTTATGTGTGCTTGCGCAAAATAATTAATAATCTTTGCTGTCAATGTAATTAAATAAAAGTCAAAATAAATCTATTGATAAATTACATATCTTTCCATTTGAAAAAAGACCCACGACCAACTGTGGGAACCGCCTGACACGAGTCCAAATAAATATTTCTGAACTATCAGAAATCTTTAGTTGGAATTTTTGTTTACTAAAATTTATAGTATTATATTATTTTTCATTTTTATTTTTTATCAGCTGTATTGAGGTTTACAAAGAGTTGCAATTTAAGTATAAATGGTTTCTCCTAATTTTATATGCATTAGTATTTTAGATGTGTGGGTACAACCAGCCATGTAGCCAATGTAATGTCCAATATAAAAATTGATATCCTCATCTGTAGCGAATGTTTGTAAGGAACTATTTTACCCTCCAATGTAAAGGTTTATAAGAAATATTACCAGTTTATTCACTTACCTGATTAACCAATCCCATATTCTTATCTCTGACAAAAGACTCTCTGTGCTTTATAGCCGCATGCTGAGATGTAGCCAGTTCATGATAAGCAACAGATAGCGGTTTTAAAAATCGGCATACTACTTGGGACACATATTTGGGCATGGGTAAAATCTGAAATGATAAACATATGTTGATGTATGTCACTCTAAAATGTTCTACATGAAATCCTAGAATTTATTCCTAGTATATGTTACTTTTATTCAGTTTTAGCATTCGGAAGAGATTGGTAATTAACATTAAACCAGCCTGTTGCTTTAATTCAGAAAGATATTCTTTTTTTCCTTATAACTTAATAGATTAATATAATGCTTTTATCAATTTATTAAATAAAATGAATTACCTTTCCGTGAAGAATGAAAGACACCAAAATATACTTTTTATAAGCTTCTAGCATAATGTGTGACACCACCATAGCAGGAACAGTTACCACAACTTCAAAGAAGTACAAAGCTCTATCATAATTCTTCATGGCCGTATAAATCATTCCTCCATAGTAGTAATACAAAAGAAAATGTTTAGAATCATTATTTCCACCCAACTAAAAAAAATTTATAAATTAAACAAACATTTATTTACATTCATAAATATATTTGAAGCATTTGGAATATAATTGCAAACAATATTTGTATTTTGTTACTCTGTAGACAGAAACAGATAAAGATCTCATAATTAAAAAAACTAGTCAAATGTATTAGCTTTACCTCAGATCCAATTCCTGTAACATCTGTATCTAGAAATTCTATAGCTGGCTTCATACATTTTGAGAGTAGACATAGCTGGCAGATATCTGCATGAATCGATGTTAGTTGAGAATCAAACAATTGTATTTTCCTAATAGCTTTTTTTAATATTTCTATTCCTCTGATGGGTTGTTTAATTTCTACCAGATGGTCAGTCAAAAGATGGCACAGATTGGCATCTGGAAATGTAAACAAAATGTAATATAAATTTCACATGCAAAACAAATACTAAAATGTTAAGTTTTTTTTACTCACATAAGTCTGGTGAAAACCGTACTTGCTCGCCATTACAATTGTTTATGAAGTCCTGAACTTGTTGGAACATTATTGTTCTATCAATATCATTTGTGCCCTGAAATATTCACAATTAAATGTAAATTAATTTTTTTTTTGTAGTTGTAATATCAAAAAAGCTGGTAAGTTGTAACTATTGTAATCAGATATGTGAACAGCACTATGAACATCACATTATCAAACTTGCTTAAATTAATTTTTTATCCCTTCATTTAGTGCCAAAGTAAGCCTGAATGTCATTAAGTTTAAACCAGTGGAAAGCTAATTGTTATTTATTGTGATTAAAGCCTCAATTCTAGACATGTAGTCCATCAGGTCACCATTCATGTGATTGCGCCTAGAACGCATTGCTAAACTACTAGTTTATTCATCATGATGGTCAAAATAAACTACAATCTTATCTTATTATTGTCCATTGAAATCATCCCCCAAACTATCATTTTTAACCCAGGTGGGTGAACAACAACTACACATTCAACCATTATAACAATTGAGTACAAACCTGCGGCAGAGAGAACTTCGCCACTAAAACAGCTAGAACTCCTAATGAATGCTGTTGAATATCAAGTGTCTCCAAAACGGTATTGAGGTGGGCACTGTTACGCTGTAAGACCTCATCGGATTTTCCAATTATATCACATAACTCACGAAAACTACCTGTAAATGTAAAAACGGATTAATATATGTTTCAATTCAAAAATTTTAAATGTAAAATCATTTTTACCTGACGCTGACAAAGTTCGAACATTGTTTACAAACTGTTCAAGAGGAGAAGCCATTTTTATGAATTTATTATATTTTGTGGCCCCAGAGTCACTTCTTCGTTTGAGTTTGTTTATTGGAAATGTTCAAATATCAACTCAACTCCGTTATAATCGTAATAATCTTATAATCTAAATTGTTAAGTTGTATAAATATACTTTTTTTCAGGTTATTGAAAAATCACTACCCATCCTCCAACTGTCACCCATCCAGTCAATGTCATCTAGAGATGCAAAAAAATATCGATAATGAAAGTATTGTTTTCAATCGATTATTATATTTTAAATAATCGATTAACTAAACCTTATAGCTATTGATCTTAACCTCGGTTAGCAATAATTAGTCGATTATTGTAATAATAATTCATTCTCAGCAAAAACAGTTGTGCCAATAAACCTATTTGCTTTTTTTTTTTTTTTATTAAGTATTTTACGGCCTTGGAAATCTCCTTTCAGCCAAACAATTACATTTAACTATATCTTTAGCATTATAATCTATAGCGTTCTTATTGTATTGTGTATAAACTCGTATAAAAATGGATAACTTTCTGTATTTTGTAGGATAGATAGCAAGAGGCGGGGTACTTCTTTTTTATTATATAAACTTATTAAGCCATCTATCAAAATAAGTCTCTGCAAACCAAATGCTGGACATTCCATTATAATATGTTGTAGATCGGCATTTTCTGCTGTACAGTAGTCACAATTTGAAGAAGATCTCAATTTTATTCTATGCAAATGAGCCGGAAACTGCCCATGTCCCATACGAATTCTATTAATCGTTGTAATGTATCTTCTAGATGGTTCTTGTAATTTGAAATACCATGGTTTTCCAAAAATTTCTTTCTGTATATCAGCATACCATTTTCCTTTTATCATTTTGGTTTCTGCCCATTTTCTATTCCAATTACTAAACATCCTTCTGTTAATTAATGCATTGTAGTCAGTTATTGGCACTGGCGATAAATCCAAATGACAATCCAGTTCATTAATCTTCATCATTCTGTCTACAACTTCATTTCCAGTAATACCAGCATGAGATGGAACCCACATGAACTCTATAACTTTGTACAATTTCATGTCATATAAAATTTCTCTTATTAAGTAAATGTATAAATTATCTTTGTAGCTTATTTTATAATTATCTAAGGATGTCAATACACTTAGAGAATCCGTTATTATTAGAAATCGTCTTGAATTTTCTATGTCTTGTACATATTTCAAAGCTTTAAAAATTGCATATGCTTCCGCAGTGAAAACCGATGAATGTTGATCTAGTACATAGCATTGTCCAGTTTTAGTAAAGGAGTCAAAATATGCCGCTTTAGTAGAGTCTTCAGATTTCGATCCATCAGTAAATATTTTTCTGTAATCAGGTTTATATGTTTGGGTGTATATTATAAATTCATTATTATCCATCACTCTCTCCTGTACTATTGTAGGTTTTGTAGTTTGAACATCCAGTGAACCGTAAGACCATTTATCACATTGATACATATTAACAAATTCATTTAATAGTTCATTATCAATTTGTATAATTTTATTATTTTTTAATATATTACTCAGTGTATTATTTGCAAAAATTTTTAAATAATATTTTTCCATCAAATAATTAAGTCTTACATGAATTGGAGGAATGCCAGATTCAATTTCTAAAGAATTAATAGGAGTCGAACACATTGCTCCTTTTTTTTTTTTTTTTTTTCTCTTCTTTGGCAAGAGGCTAGTGTTGCCTATTATGCCACTAAAAACAGGAAACGAGACGGGATAATGGAAAGGAACGGGTTAAATTTTGAATATACTCGGAATTAGTGATCATGGGTTTTAAAGTTTAATGTTATTATGGGAAATAAAAGACGCAAGAGATTTATAAATTATAGGATTAGGATGAGCTAATAGGCATACAAAGGATGAAGGAAAAGGAATTTCTAATGAGATGAGTGTCTCTATAAATGAAGAACGATCGTAAGAGGAGCAGGAAAACACAATATGATTTAGATCACCCACATCTTCTCCACATTCACAGATATTATTGTCTTTTATACGTAGTTTTGTTAAATGTTCAGGGCTGCAAACATGACCAATTCGCATACGAATCAAAACACTAGTTGATCTTTTATCAAGATGTAATTTGAAAAACCACGGTTTAAGAGCTATAAACGGTTGGACTAAACAGTACTGTTTCCCTTTAATTTTGCTACTTATTGTCCAATCTTGACTCCATGAATCATGAAGACAAGACTTAGACAAGGCAGTCAGATCATGGCAAAAGTTTTTATAAGGAAATAGATCTCCAGATAATATAGCTTCATTCGCAAGCAAATCTGCTTTTTCGTTGCCCCGAATGCCACAGTGACCCGGAATCCAAACAAAAGATACAATATGTCCTTTGAGACGAATGCTATTCAACATATCTCGGATATCAAAAATTAGAGGATACTGTTTAGATGATTTGAATGGACATTTAATTAGAGCTTGAAGAGCACTTTTAGAGTCCGTAAATATAACAGTTTGCTTAAGATTAAAAATTTTAATATATTCTACTGCTTTAAAAATTCCATAGCATTCACCAGTAAAAACAGAGGTCTCTGGTGGAAATTTAATTTTCTGAATTATATGATATTGTGAGTGGTAAATTCCTACACCAACATTTCCTGTATGTGAGTGTTTCGATGCGTCACAATAAATTTGATGATGGCTTTCCCATTTAGAGTTTACTACTTGATTAAACATTGCATTTACATTAGGATGTTCTTTTTCTATGTTAATATCAAAATGAACATCAGGGGTAAAAGTTAAAGATTCATATGCTGAACTAAATAATGGAAGACAGGGAGATCGATGAGTGGGAGCTCGGATGGCAGTAAAAGTTCTGTAACTTTTTACTAAGCAAGGTAGAGATTTATGAGACCAATAGGATGACGAAGAAACAAGATCAGAGAGCGATTGCAATTTAGGGATCAGAGGATGATTAGAAAACTGTAAAATACGAAATAAAAATTTATCAGATAAATACTGACGCCTTAAATACAATGGAGGATCACAACATTCTACTTGCATCGCATTAATGGGACTAGATTTCATGGCGCCCAATATAATCCTTAGAGCTTTAGCTTGAATATTATCCAATTTTTTTAGGGCTGTAGCATTAGCAGGTTCCAAAATAAATGTACCATAATCCATAACACTCCTTATGAGAGCATTATATATTAGTTTTAATTGAAATGGATGGGATCCCCACCACACACCCGTAAGGCATCTTAGAATATTAAGAAGTCGTTCACATTTAGCTGAAACGTATTCACAATGTGGTAAACCAGATAATTTAGAATCGAGAATTATGCCTAAAAATTTTATTTTTGTCTTTACTGGGATACACTGATTATTGTAACAGATATTTATAGGGGGTGGAACTCGCATTCTAGAAAACAGAACAACTGCACTCTTAGCCGCAGACAATTCAAGACCGTTACAATCCATCCAAAATTTTAATTTTTCTAAAGAAGTGGAAATTAAAGAACACGCTTTTTGAACAGAATGATCAATAAAATACATCAATAAATCATCCGCATATTGAAGTACAACGACTTTCTCACTGTTTTGATTTACATATGACTCTAAGTCGTATGTATAGATGTTATATAAAAGAGGACTGAGTGGTGATCCCTGCGGGAGACCCTTCCATACAACTCGAGACAAAATATTAGAATCAGACAATATAACGCTAATGGATCTTTCCGTCAAAATATTAATAATAAAGTTAGAAAGTATGGGAGGAACATTCAAATCGCAAAGCTTTTTCCATAATATGTTAATATTGACATTGTCATACGCAGAGTTAATATCTAAGAAAACTGAAACTACCGACTGATTTTTAGAGAATGCCAAACGTATATCTGAAACGAACAGACTGATTCCATCTAATGTACTTTTACCCCTTCTAAACCCATACTGACTTTCAGCTAATAGTTTTTTACTTTCGACATACCACTCTAAACGAGTTTTTACTAAATTTTCAGCAATTTTTAAAAGAACTGTGGAAAGAGCTATAGGACGATATGAACTACTGTCATCGGAAGGTTTGTTGGGTTTTTTAACTGGCAATACCGTGTGATGTTTCCATGACGACGGAATATTCCCAGTTAACATTACTGAATTTATGAGATTAAGGTAATACAACATACATTCATCATTAATATTCGCTAAAAATGAATATGGAATGTGGTCATTTCCTGGAGATGAATCTTTCGTATGAGACAGAACGGTTTTAAGTTCCGTAAATGTAAAAGGACTGTCAAGAGCTGAAGAGTTTATATTTTTATTGGTGGAAAGTGGCCGCGTTATGGGATCCATATGAGATACGTAGGGTGGTGCTAAACGATCTAGAAACTCGTTAGCTGTAGTCTCTGATAATGTAAAAAAAGGAGAATCTTGGAAAGCAGATCTGTATCTTTTTATATTACGCCATACAAGGGAAGGATGAGTATGAGGCGAAATAGAAGAACAGAAACGTTTCCATCCTTCTGACTTCTTTTTCTTTAAAAGTTTCCGGGTGGAGGCTAGTAGGGCAGATAGATTGGTGAAGTTTTCTGAACTCATATCATTACAATATAATCTTTCTGCCAGTTTCCTGGATTTAATAGCTGTAGTACATTCATGGTCCCACCAAGGTGGAGAAGGAATTTTATTATTATTATGTTTGTTTACAGGAAAAACTTCATCAGCGACTTGTATCAAAATTTTGCTGAGGGCTTCAGAACAGTCCGATCCATTACCAGAAGTAATAGGAGGGAGAGATGATAATTTATTTTGTACACCAATTTGGAATTTATCCCAATTATTATTATTATTTAACTTATGTTTGTAAAAATAATTTCTTTTTCGAGGATGTTTTTTATGAATTGGTAATGAAATGATAATAGGAAAATGGTCACTCCCATATGCAGATGAAAGGATAGACCATGATAGAGAGGAAGATAAATTGGAAGAACAAATAGAGAGATCTACAGCACTATTTCTTTCAGTGGGAGCAGTAATACGAGTAGGTACTGGGTCATTTAAAACACACAGATTATGGGAATCAAGAAGGCCTAACAATTGCTCACCATGGTAATTAGAATAGGAGCTGCCCCAAGCTTGATGATGGCAATTGAAATCACCCATAATTAAAAAAGGTTTAGGAAGAATTGAAAATAACTCATTTAAATATGCAATAATTGAAGAGGAAGGACGAGGTATATAAAGGGAGACTAAACAAATATCGCTGACAACAGCAGCAACCATAGAAATATTGTTTTTGTCAAAAAGAGGTAAAGAAATAGAAGAAAAATGAGTAGCTTTATTGATGAGTAAGGCAGCCCCACCATACCCATCTGGCCTATCATCTCGAATACAAGA